GTAATTTATTAAACTCCTTCAGTAGCCAAAGCTTGACACCAAACGATCTTAAGTTAATACCTATCGCTATATTTAAATATGGTTTTCTTTGTTATTGTTTTACCACTGCATTTTCTCGGTGGAATTTATTGTTGATGTTGAATTTTCATCATAAGCTCTCATCTCAGAAAATTACCTTTGGAAACCGTATATTAATTGAAACCATGTCGTCTGTTTCCCATTAAAGTTTAAGCTTGATCTGAACTCAGCTGATGTTGTCCTAATTTAAGTGTAGTTAGCATGTTGAAGACTTACTGCTTTCAATGCAAACAAATCCACATAAACTTGCACTGAAGGTAAGTCTCTCTGAACCTTTTGGTCCCTCTTTCCCTGCAGCCAATTCTCCAGAAGTGGCAGAGGCCTATCGTGCCACGTGCAACGCGAAGGTTCTCTCTCGACCGGACCAATTGGCCGCTATCGCTGATCACTGCAACGCTCGCAAGCTGGATAGTCGCAAGGCCAGCGAAGAATCTATTGAGGTCTTCTTCACCGTTCTTGTCAAGGCACGATCTCATGGAGTTTCTCTACTTTTCGGATTTTCATTAGCTAAGCCAACATCTTTCTCATTGTATACCACGTTGTTTAGTTTATTTGAGCTTAGCTGTGAGGGCGTTATAGGAGGCTCGACCTTGCGAGCCAATGGTTCTGTTACCAGAGCTTCCTTCTAGTCTTCACAACTACCATATTTTTAGGCAATGGCGGAAGAGTTGACATCTCCATTCACAGTTCTGTTCCATTATCTCTTTGTAGAAGTTTTAACTTGACCATCTCTTTACGGGTTTCCTTACCTTCGTTTTCTGGATTTTTGACACGTTTTACCTCATAAAGTTCTGAATCTTGGTCTCTCTCACAAAATCCATTGAGTTTAGCATTTTTTCTGTTGCGATCGCTTAATTAAGTTTAATGAAAATTGGGGATCACTGAAGTTTATTCTTTTGCAGCAGTAATTAATGGATGTAGGTCAGTAATCTCACTGTGGGAGAAGGTGGAAGGGGGAAAGGGGAAGAGGGACGTCTGAAAGGCCTTCCAAGGTCCTGACACTTTATCTGTTCTTTTTTGCTTTTGCTTCAGGAGTGCGGCCCACTAACAGAGACCTGTTCGGTGGTGAGCGTGTTGAAGAATTCCTTCGATGTCCTGATCCTTTCCACGGGTCTTATGAAACGCGTCTACCTCAATGTGGGCCTCACAATCTCTTAATGATTCACGCGTACATGGCAACCGTATTTTATCATTGCAAGATTGAATGACTCTCTTTTAGTCGAAGCTTTCGAAGATATTTTTGACTTCCCATCCCCTACAAAGAGGCGGCCAATTTGTCCTATCCATGATATACTTATCGTATAAGCTTGCATTAACCCACTCATGGCAACCATACATACTCATCTTGACTGAAGGTGTCGGGGTATCTCACACTCCAAATAGGTTTCGTATGAGGCGAACAATCAATGCTGCTTCTTGAAGACACTTGTCCATGCAACTATGCACGGAATGATCTTCCATATCCAGACTTTGAAAATCTCGATTGGCTTATTTGAAATCTGCATTTAAAAGTCTTTCAAAAAGTTTTGAATTATTTGTAGTTAAGTTTCAAAGAAATTAGGCATGCGCTTTGATAATACCCCGATGCATAAGAAGTCGGCAAGGGACTAAGATGTTTGGAGGGTCACAGATCTTTGCAACATTCAAGCTCGTATATTTTCAAATAACCAACTTTTCAAGACACAAACTCTACTCCTTGATGAAAGAGACTCATATTTTTATTAAGTTGTAGCCTTCGGAAATAATACTTCAAGGTACTGCCAGATTATTAGGGCAGCATTTATAATCACCTGTTTTATTAGTAAATGATGTCGACGAGCGTTAGTTCAAAACGAAAATCACATGCTTTATTATAAAAGGAAGGAATCTGAGACTCATGACACCTTCGTAATCTACTTCTTATTGAAAAACAGAAATTGGATTTGACTTGCTACGAGTACGAAGAGGCGGCAACTAAGGAAAAGGGAATTGTGGGTGCCGGAGTTCTCCATCTCCAGTGGAACGTGCGTTCGTTAGAAAGCGTGATGGGTGCTGAATCTCATGCCATCGTTGCTGGTCCTCCCCCACCTCTGCTATCAGACCCGGCAGTGATGAACGCGGTGCCGGCACTCGCAGGAGGTGACACCCAAATGCCGCCTCCCATGCCGGCTCCCTGCGGCTGTTTTCGTCAGGAGTTGCATCTTTTCGACCTCTGTCGATGCATGGTGGCGATTGATGAGACCTCACTCTCTACTGTTTCAAAGGCTGATGAGGTGGATAGCGTTAACAACAGCTTCAGCGTCAACAATGGTAATCGGCTTCTAAAGTTAAAGGTGAGTTTGAATTAGGGCTTCGCTTTCTACTTATTTGTGTGTCTAGATGGTTTTTAACTATAGCGTCATAATATATTTCAAAGTTGCAATGGGAAGTTTGTGCTGAGGAGTTGGTAGTTTCAATACAGCTGAAATGAATGAAGGGTAATGGCGATGGTCAGAGCTTAGAAAGACTGTGGGAACCTTTTACATGATGAGACACCGTGTCTCCATTATTCAGTTTTAAATAATTTACTATCATTTCATCAATGTAAGTAGTATGAAGTGGATCATTATTAGACACTGGCGTCGTCTATATGCAATAGTGTGAGAAGAAAAGTGGTTTTGAGGGCTCTCATGAGAGTCGTTGATCGATTTGAAAAGCAGCTTTGAAAGGGTTGCTGTTGACTTTCCACGAACCTTGTGCCAAGGAAGCCCATGACCTTTGATCGAATTCGGAAGGATCCATCCACCGATTTTTTCACCGAACTTGTACTATTTTGCTAGTGGTGATTTGGAGCACTCAAACGTCAGCATCAACTAGGCCAATTCAGGTCAGCAGTAGGAAGTCCTTCCTCTATGTCGGGTTGGCATTTCTTCCCTTTTTTCTGGTTAACTGAATGCTCGGATTCGCGAACCGAAGTCCTAGCGCTTCTGCAAAAAGAAGACTGTGAATTCCTCCAGAATAAGAGAAATTCACAGGCTTGTTCTTAAGTTTGGTACGATTTGGCAGGCTTAATGTGGAAAGAATGTGATATTTTAACAAGAAAGACGGAAGGTTTCTGCTGCGTTTGGCTTATGGAGAATGTTGGGATGACTGAGGTTTTTCACTACCAGGATCAATAGGAATGTCATTATTGAACGCTTTAAATTCTCGATATGGCATTCAGCTTTGGAATGGCAATTAAAGGCATAAATAAGGATGGGACTTGGTTCATGAAACTAGGTTGGATGCTATGCTGATTGAGGCAGTGAGAAATCACAGTAAAAGAGATACTGGCAACTGAGGTAAATTGAAAATTTGATTCAAAAAGCATGAATATGGGTGGGTTGCCATGGCAGTCTATCCATATTTTTTTGTGTAGGCTTGTATATTCTCGAGCTTGAGCACTGAATCAGCTGACCTATTAGTGGCAGGTTCTTTCACCCCGAAACTTCATTTTCCTACCCTTTGACCTTTCTTCTCCTGTAGGTAACAATGATACGCCCCACTTGCGTTCTCTGTGAAGCCTACGCGTCGTAGAATGATGGCAAAAAGGCAGCTGCAATAACAACATCAGAAAATGTTGGGGTCCTTCCCCTTGGGTCTTTCGCTCCTTCGAGGGCTGCTGCTCTCCAACCTTTTACATTTCTTCCCTTCCTCTTTCTTGTTGTGTGTCTGTACGATTTTACATCCCACTTACTCTCCTTGTTGTACTTCAGGACAAGCAGTAAATCCAAATAAATACTGGAGACAGTTCCTTCTGGGGATTCTTTTTGCTTGTTATTATTAGTTACTCTCCGCCACAAAGTTTGATTGAAATTGAGTTGCTTCGTGTTTGCCCGCTTAATGTCAGCCCGCTAATGAATTGTCGTGCAGTTTGCTGGCTGTCGTTTCGTCGTTTCTGGGTGTAAGCGCATTTTACGACTGAACTGATCTTAATTATGGTATTTGTTCTCTATCAAATCACTACTAATTTGGCCAATTTGATAAGCGTCTTTGGGCTTAAAATCACAACAGGCAGTATCTTAATGTCGAAGCATAAAATTTATTAGCAACAATGAGGCATATAATTCATTAGCAAGGCGTGAATTACTATTCGAACGAAAATCCAATTTATGTGTTTGATTATTTCTTTGTGTCATTCAGTTGCCGAATGCGGGTTGGACCACTGGCCCGCTTAAGGTTTCTCATGTATCGGCGATGTCTCGTGAGTATTGCTCGCTTCAAATCCGAGGTAAGGTCAACACCCTTTTTATTTTTGTCTGTTAAACCTCACTGACGCGCACGCATAAGTTACGCCTTGTAGGGGTCATTTCGGAGTTACGATTCCTACTGGCCACGACCCTTCATCAATCGTATGCTCAATACTGATCTTCTTGTTGAGGTATTTTTTTACTTCCTTCGCTTTCTAATCTTTAAATTTAGCATGTTTTTTTTTGTAAAAGGTCGAAGCCTGTCTTGATGTGTTCTTTTAGTCTTAAAATGGTCTGATCTTGTTAAGACTCAGAGCTGGGTCCAAGGGGATGATGGTAAGTGAATAAAGGTAGCTGCAATTAAGGTGGACAGGTTTATTATCAAAACGTGATTCTTTCGTCTTTGAAGCTGGGGAACAGTGAAAAATAACTGCGTGAATGTATTTCCTGCCCGTTAAATAAGCTATCGTTTTGGCAGACGCCGTCTCTGTGTCGGAATTTCATTTTATTTGTGTTGAAAATAAGTGATTTTCACGCGACTGGGCGATTTCATGACCCAATTCTAGCCGTCTATCATCGGCAGCGTTGGAACTACCAGGTCTGCCTAGTTGGCCGGCTGAAAGTGCATTTTGCTCTAGACTTCGTCAATGTGGTGAAGTGGACTACAAAATGTCGAACCTTAAGTGAGTTATTAAGAGTAACATGAAAGCTTAATATTAACTCGTTTGCAAAGAATGAGCCGATCGGCAGCAAGTACAGTCGAAGACGCTGCAAGGAAGATTAATGAGCGCTGCATTCGGTTTACGTGGTGGAGGCGCATACGTGCAATAGCACTTGGACCACTAATTCTGGCGCTTGATCCATTGTTATGAGTAGGAAAACTTTTAAACGTTGCTGACATGATGAATGCTTCAAAGTGCTTCTTCTATTGGGGTAAATTAGTTCACTCCTTCTTAACTAAATTTTGCTAATAAAGAAGCTTCGACGCTAAGAATTTCGTGTCGAATTGCCACACACTATGGAGTGCTTCTATCGATTTTCCTTTCCATTTCATCTTAAAAGGGTCGACTGTGCTACACTTCGGAGAACTCAGCCTATGTGATCAATCCTTCTGATGGGAACCGAATCCTCATTTTTGACAAAGCCTTGAATCGAGCCCTCCCCAACGACATTGTCGCTGTGAAGTTGAATAGACCCGAACAATGGCGGGTAAACCTATTGACCATTGTTCTCCGATGCATTGCCTCAGTTGATAGCTAAGTTCTGCCAGGGCTAAACGGTTTGCAGGAACGTTAATGGTAAAGACCTCTTTCTTGTGCTATCGCGTTTTACTCCCAAGCTGAATCCTCATTTCGTGTCATGTCAGTTGAACTAACTTTATTTGAATGGGTACCAAGCTCCTCCGCCCTAGAGCTTGAACAGAAGCCTTTATTTCCAACAACTGGGGGCGGTGTCCAATTGAAGTTGAAAATGGAAGGGAACTATCCTCTTCGAATCAACGTTAAGCAATACTCAACTTGATTGTGGAAGTAGACCACGTATTTTGTGCTGTGATAAATTGGTAGTGGCGAACTCGAGTGTCAGTTCGTTTATCTTTCCCTTCACATGCATTGCAAAGGCATGATGTGCACTTCACGTTGTTTGCCGGCCGTCTGGTTGGCTGGTTGACTGATGAACCTGTGATGGGATGTGGTTTTTGTGTTAGTGAGTGATTGTCTGTTTCTGTTGCAACGTTGGCAAAACCAACAAGCATGGGCGTTGGTTACTCCGAACAATTCGACGTATTAAATGCTCCTTGAAGATTGAACGTTTGCACTATGGGCCCATAACTTTGATGTATTTCTTAGAAGTATGTAAACTAATATAATGGGATTACTGGGAATGAGCAGTCAGTTGGAAGAAAGTACTGTTGTTAAATAATACAGGGCAGCGTACTTGACAGTTTTGTAACAAGACGGGTCGCAAACGATCCTAATTATCCGAATCGTGCCATTGACATTTGACCCCGTAGTCCACTTTTTTGACATCATCTCTTTACGTAAATTCTGGAGGTAAGACGGTGATTGTCTGCGACGTGGATATGCCACGTGTGCCACGTGAAGAAAGCGCTTGTTTGAACTTTAAATTGAGCTTAAGTAAGCTTATACTTTTTAACATGAATTCATCACCTTTCACTGTTTTATGTGGGTTTTTTTAGGATATGTAATCCGTTTAATTTTCTTCACCATGCCTCTTTATAATCATGAGGATGAAAAGTAGCCTTTGCAAATTTTCGTTTTGGAACCGTTCGATGATGTAAAATTATTTAGAATTTCGTAAGGACTAAAATTGTGTGAATCTTGTTAAATTCCTTTTGTGTTTTGGAAAAGAAATGAGTGGCACATGTGGCAGCGACTAGGTGGCCCGCCTATAGGGGCAATGTTAGGTCAATTTTGCAATCTGCTCCATCAACCTCTCGAGTGAATGCCTTCATCGCTTAAGTGATTGACTTGGTTATTAGCCTACTTCTTGCCTAAGGCTTGAGGTTGTGGTGAACTATTTGAGTGACATTATATACGTATTGCAATCAATTCCAAGAGAAACTCTTCAAGGCCTCACTTGCTAACCGAAAGTTTCTCCGCATTCCTATTTAATTAAAGTTTTTAGCTTTAGAACTCGTTGGACTTAAAGACACTGGTTTGACTCGCGAGTCTGGTTTTGCAAGTTCTCTTTGCTTTCTGCACCTTTATTCATTTTTCTAACCTCTCTGTCTCTGTGGGAATATTCCACGTAATAATGATATGCCGGTTGAATGAATTTGGGGCTCCCTTTTTCAAATGCAGTTCTTTGGTACAATCATATCAAACGTGCGTTTTACTATCTTATAGGTTCGCGCCTTTCTAGAGGATCCTGAGGATCATCCCAACCAAACCACATCACCAATTATTCCTGCAGAAGCTGAAGAAGAATCCCTTGACGAGTCAGATAACTGCCCTTACTCCTCTGTATCGACTGGTAACAGCAGTCTCACCACCACACCTCATTTCCAACTGACAGCAGAAAATATTCCTGGATGGCGGGGTTCGTCAGCCGTCATCAATGGTGCCGATGAAAGTTTCTATCCCACCGTCCAGGAGGTGTTACAGACTTCTCCTCTTCTTTTGTCTCGCCTCTTTCCGGGGGCTCCAGCTCTGCTGGGCCTACAAGAGCAGAGGCCTCTGTCGCCGCTGCCCAGTCGGCACCTGCTACGTACCGGCCGGGTAGTAGGTGTCCTGGCTGAGGACACTTCTAGTCGCCGTCTCGTTGGCGGTCTGGTATTCGAGTCTGCTCCCCTCCTGCCTTCGGCGTTTGTGGAAGCTGAGGGCCTCGATGAATTTACTCGCCCTCGCCAGGGTGTGGTGGAGGGAAGTGATGGGCTACCCGTGGCGGTACCAAGTGTCAACTGCTTCTTTGTGCCCGAGAGGGCTCACTGCCCTAGAATCAAGCTGGTCCCTTCATCTGTTCCTGAAGGTTTAGTTTGTTTGTCTTATACATGGAGTGCAATTTTTTAAAGGATACCTGGTCGTGCCGTTAGTCTTAGTGAATGTTTTCTCCATTTTTTCGCTTTTTCTGAAAAATTTGTATTTTTCAGCCTATTTCGGATGCTGTTGTGCTCGAAAACTTATAAGGTTTATTTCGGAAGTGTTTGACGTTTTGTTCCTATACTTTTTTTTGATTCTATAGATGAGCACTTATTATTTATGGCCACGAAGACGTACACCAGTGTGGTAATTGTGCTTTCCATCGTGAGTAATCGCCAGTAACATTACTCTAAGAATGGTTTTTTTACTGTTGCACTGTCGTCAGCATGGTTTTCATAACTCATGGTATTGGCTTGATGGAGCTGACCTCCATCTCACCTTAAACCACGGTTTTACGGTCTGTTTTATTCACGTACTGCATTAGAGAAGTAGAGAACCTAAGCGTTCAATTTTTAGCCTAGTAGTTTTGTTAAAGCGACGAATAATGCTTCTAAAGATACGCCATTATTTGAGATTATACACGTGTGTGGTGTAAGTCGAGTCACAGAAGGAATGCATTATTTAAACAGATCTTTGGGAGAATCCTCACAAAGCAGAAGGGGTGCGGTACATCTGCAAAATCCAGGATTGGCCACCTACCTCACCCTATCCCAAGGGGTAGGCTTTCTTCCCTGCTACCATTGCATCAATCTTTGTCTTTTATAATGTCGACATCGCTTTGACTCCTTTTCCTCTACCATTTCAGGATCCTTTGCAAACAAATCGGCGATGTGCGAGAGATCGAACCGGCCACACAAGAGATTCTTTTATCGCATGGCATCTATGAGGATGAGTTCACTGATGACGTATGCACCTTTGATCTCCCAACATTGCTCGATTTTGAGTCTTCGTCATCACTCAAAGCTACTTTTTTGTTAATTGAAAGCCATAAGTATGCCAAAAGTAGCAATTTTTAAACACCTTTTAGTAACGGCTTAATTTACGTTTAATCTTAGTATAAATGTTTTGAGAAATGAGGGAGTTCAATTTTTACCAGCAATTTATGTTGTGGGACGAATCGCATAAATAATTGGTTCACTTTTGTCATACAGTACCTGTGATGACGCCTAATTTAGGAAACTACGTAAATTGGCTTTTGTCATTTGCTTTTCTTCTCCACAAACTAGTATGGAATCACCTCTGTCGCAGTCCTGTTGAAATAGCGTTTACTTCGCAGAAGGTGTCAATAAGATAAGCAGTCGTTTCATCTCAATAAACTACTTTTTTAACCGTGTCTTAGTTTTAGAAGCAACTGCAAATCCGTTTCCAATTGCATAAGTACCTAGTTTGGAAAGCTGTGAATGCTACCTATTGACAACCCTAAATTCCTTAAGAATGTTTCCTGGATTTTTTACGCACGGTCTTGCTCAATTACTTTTTCTAATCACCCATTTTCAGTCCTCTTCCTTGCCTTTCTTCTTCCAAGATGTTGAAGGATCTGCCGGCCTCTGAGGAAGAATTCCAGATCCCTAACTATGAGTATTTACGCAGAAAGGACTTCCGCTCACATTGTGTCGTCTCTGTGGATCCTTCGACGGCGAAAGACCTCGACGATGCTCTTCACGTTAAGATGTCTACTAAAGGTAAGGCGCCGTCGAGGCAACGTCTTGTTAACTTAACTTAACATTCACACTTGTGGCATTGAAGTCATCCACGAAAATTACTAAGGCACACCAGATCTAAAGCAGGGTTATTGGCAATGAAAAGTAGAACTGGAAGGCTTTTCGTCTAGGCCTGATATGGACGGAGCGTTACGGTATTGATATAGTGATAACAAGTGGGAGCTCCTGAAGGTTATGCATGGTTAATTGGCAAATTGAAACGCATGGTTGTTACTTCATTACACAGCTTCAGTTGTGAAGATCATAGTGTGCAAGATTGTTCAGGTGGTGGAGTCATGTAATTTGGTGGTGCGAGGTCATCCTTTGGGCTAAGAATCTTGCGTGCAGCGGTTCGTTTCCATGATACAGTGGACGGATGGCTGGACTTGCAGCTCCTCTTTTGTCTGAGTTACTAGCATTGTGTTGGGATGCAGTCACTGAAGCCATAAACTGAGGTGTCGAATAAGTTTGGCGTCAATTTGGAGCCTTTTCTGCTTGAAATACCTGGCGTTGGGGTAAAGCAAGCGGTTGGCTGAGGTATATGTACACTACGAGATGTGAGAAGCATCCGAAAAGAATTTGATTGACGGTCATGATTATTTTAAGGAGGAATGCATAGCTACCACAAACGCTATTGCTTCCATGCCTTAAAGCTTCTACAGTACCAGTTGATCAGGTCTTAAACTTTTCCATGAAACATTGGCATTACTTTAAGTCAACTGATAAATACATTTTTTTTCTTTTCCAAACCAGTTCTAGGTCTGCTTTTATTCTTGCTCTTCGTTGTTCGGAGCTTTTGACGTGGATTGCTATAACATATGAGTAACATCTTTTTTATCGTTTTGTGGGGAATAGTTACATTAAGTTACGGCGTAAGCAAGTAGGCAGAGTTTAAAGCAATAGGATGCACAGTTTTTTATTTCAAATAAGTTTGTCAATTTGGTGGTGCAGGTGTTAGAAAATGTCAAGGCAGTGCTGGTTGGATCGCTCCTGCGATCTTTGCAGCAGACTTGCTAGTTTTTTTAATAAGCACCACGGTAGATTAATCAGCGCTCTAGGAAATACTTTTAGCCTAGTACGTCCAAAATGGTGAAAAGAAATTGTTGCTTAAATAGTTTTTTCTTTTTTGCATGCTTCATTTCAAGGTGATAACTTACCCCAACATTTTGGACGGAAGTAATGAGAGTACAGAGTCTGTGGAATGCCTCAGACGAAATCTAGAAGTCCACAGCTATGATATGCTCTAACCAGCTTTAGGGACTACCAATTTTGCTCAGGAGTTTGGATAGCAGCGTGCAGTCATGTTGTGAGCCGAGGCCACTGAGCGATGCACAGGAGGTCTGATGTCGAAAATTTGAGTGTCCCTAACGGCAGTGATCTTTTCTTCACAGATGTATTTGAAGTCGGTGTACATATTGCTGACGTGTCTTTCTTTGTGCGACCTCTGACGCCTCTGGACCGAGAGGCGGCAAACCGAACAACCTCCATCTATCTTGTCCAGCGCGTATGTTATCTTTGCCCAGTCTCTTTCATTAACATCCAAATAGCTGCCTTTATGATGTCCGCTTTAGTACTGTCCCGGAATAATCCATTTTATTACCATTACAGTGACATTTTAACGACTGCTTTCTTTAATTAGGGAGTAGGCAAGCTCTCATGTAACTTATTTGAATGCCAATAGTCTGAGTTCCATGTTGTTCCTTCATCCTGACGTTGATTGTATTGTCTAATTCCAATACTTTAACCAATTGAGGAGAGATAAGCATAGTTGGTGCCAACATGTTCTGTGTTCATTCACTACTTTTATTCATTGTTTGACTACGGCGATGTACACTCCTGCTGATGCTACCATAGCTTTGTTGGATTATCTTATCCTGAGTCAAATCATGTTTTTAAGGCCAACTGTGATTGATTCTCGTGTTTGTTGATCGCATATGCCCCAAATCATCCCTAAAATAGTTGTTGCTACCTTTGACCCATCTACATCTGTTGATAGGCTATTGGAAATAGTCTCAGCCCTACAAATATTTATTTAATATTACTGGTTTTGACATTTTGATAGTGTTTCTCACCTTGTTATTTGATTTCTACCTGCCCTCTGTTTAATGTGGCATCCCTTTATAGGTTATCCCAATGCTGCCTGCTATCCTTTCGGAGCGTCTCTGCAGCTTAAATCCAGGTGTCGATCGGCTAACCTTTTCCGTCGTCTTTAAGGTTGACAAGGAAGGAAATGTGGGTGGACCTTCCCTAGACGTTGCATTTTCCACTCACGGGGAGCATTTTATTAAATACTAGCGGATTCAGGCAAAATCATCTGATGTGATTCACAACCAAGCTTCATTAGAGCTAGCACCATAGATCGTGCTTCATACCTAATGCACCTTCTAGGCCTCAGTGGTACTAATAGGTGTTCCAAAGGCCATTTTGTGGTTGTGCAACAAATTTTATTCCTGGTTTGCTAGTATCAATTCACTGCGTACAATTTAATATTATTCATCCGCTTCGTTCAGGTTACGAAATACAGAATACAATGTGTTTGCTTGGGGATTTGAATTTCGATTTCACGAGGAAAGTATTCCGCATGTTATTTTTATGGAAACCAATTCAATTCAACCGTCTATTCAGGTTGTTTGCTACTTCTCTATACAGGCATAGAAGCATCGCCTGCGCGAAATTGTGTCATGCTTCTATAGACTAGGAACTTTCCTTCAGCTAATTTCCTACGAGTGCATCGTTGGTGCGCTATTTTAATCTCAAATCCGTGTAGTGAGCTCTCCTTGCTTTAGGTATGTCTAATTAATGCACGTAGGAACTGGACCGTTATGTTATGAGAAACTACTGGAGAGTCAGAACAGGGCGTCTCTTACGTTTACACTTTCATCTCAAGGAGTTGTGTCTAAGAGCTCACTCAGACGGACGCAATATCATAGGAAGCCTCCGCATTCATCTATATTCTTATGTTTAATTCTTCGCGTCTGTGTCTGCTGCAGGTGTTGGACGTGTGGTTTGGCCGCACCGTGATTCGGTCGTGTGCACGCCTCTCATACGAGGACGCTACGGCTCTACTTGAGACGCCACAAGGGGAATTAGGCAGTCTTGCCCCTCGTATCTCTGTCCAGGCCCCCTTTTCACTTTCCAACATTAAGCGCTCCATCACCTATCTTGACATGGTACGTTTTTCCTCCCAATGCTGCATGAAAATTAAAGTTGCATTATGAGACTGACGTCGACGTGTACCATTCCTGTTTCGAAGTCATGTAATCTCTATTCTTTAACTAAATTTGCTATTCGAAGTCGTTGGTCGGGAGGTTTGTAAACGACTGCAATGTCGGTATTTCATTCCCTATTTCTACTCATTTATTGACTTCCAATGCTTCCTCATCCATTTCGCATTCACTATTGTGAGCATATACACTGACCTCCAATTGATTTGACTGATTCCTACCAAATCAGCAGTAACTTGTATGCTGCCGTTGTTTTGGAAATACCTTGTTACTTTAAAAATACGCTTTATGATGTGTAAGATAGACTGTGTTCATCACTCTGTAGGCTGAATAGCTAATTTTTACCTCACGAACATGCCATGTTCCTCTTCCAAAAGGAAATGATGGATAAGGAATTCTCGGATCATTAGTCCCGTCTGCTAATCCAATCACGCTTCTTGCTTTTTGGTGGTGCGATAGTTAGCTCAAAAGATGCGAAAAAGGCGAATCGAAAATGGAGCGCTGTTGTTGGACAAAGTTCAGCTGCAATTCGACCTTAGTCCCGAGACGGCAGAGCCGAAGCATTTTCCGTAAGTCATTTGCGCTTTTACTTCCATTATTTGCAGTCGAATCAAGAATTTGTAACAAGTATAAGGGTCATTATCTTTGTCGATGATGGCGTTTCTCTATTGACTATTTCTAAACGTAAAACTATCTCTTGTGTCATGTACGCTTTATGAGCATTGTTTCGATTTAAAGAGCATTGAGTTTTCTCAATAGTGAAAGGGAAAAATTTTTCACACGAACCTCACCGCAATTCATTCATAAATCCAAATGATTTTTGACAATCATTTTTGCATTGAATGCATTGTTATGATTCGGTGCTTTGATTGGGCTCGGATCAGTATTTCCTTTCAAATTATCCCTTATCCCAATGTATGCTTCGAAGGTTGTAAGCCAATCGCCAACACAGGGTAATCTCGATTTCGCTTGGTTGTAGCCATCAGTTTTGAATTTACGTCAGTTAAATGAAAGTTAAGGCTTCAGTGCTGGGACTCATTATTCGTTTGTTGATCGCTTTCGCATGCCGCCAAGTCAATCCTTCACTTTAGTTAAGAAAGAACTATTTTTTAATTACCTTTGAACTCCTTGTTCTTTACGAAAATTGAACTTTTAATACGGTTATGCATGGAGACTACTAGTCATAAAAATGGAAACATTACTTCGCTGCTTTTATGGTATTCCCCTTCACAGATCATTTTTGGTCTTTTTGTGGTATTTCCATCATTGAATACCGTCAATTTTTACTCGAGAACAGTCAGGTGGAAACTCGATTTCTTGTAGTTTTAACAACGTTAATGTTTCCGGCTCTACACACAGTACTTCTTCGAAGGAAGGGATGGAGGCGACCCCTAAGATGACGGGAGGAGACGAGGAACCTGTCGTACAATCTCAATCCTTCCCGGCAGGATGGCCGCGGGGCTACGTAGTTAAGCAGAGCGGTCGCGCTCACCACCTCATAGAGGAGTGGATGCTTGCAGCTAACCAGGCTGTGGCACGGCGTCTATTCTATCACGTTATCCGGCAGAAGCACCAAGAAATCTTACTCAACGCTGACCCTAATACTGTCTCCACACCCACCGTGATCGCTGCGATCAAACCCAGCTCAGCACACTCCATTGGAGTAGAGAGATCAAAAAACTTGCGCACATCCTCCATGGGCACGGTTCTTCGACGCCATCCTTCTCCCAAGGTGTCCAAGATGGAAGAATTAGTGAGATTGCTAATAGGGTTTTGTACTTTGCCATTTTTTTGTTCATTCTTGTTTACAGTGTGTTCGAATCGCTACTCATCCACGATTATTTTCTGCTCGAGACTCCTCTTTATGTGGCTGAGAAATTTACTATGTGAGTTAATACCGAAGTAGGACTTTTGAAAGGAATTATTTATGGATATGAACAGTTTTTTATGAAGCCATGCTATTTTAAAGCGGTTATTAGCACCTATGTGGCAGGGACAGGAAAGTTGCAGAATAGAATCTTTCTCTGGTACGGTTAATTCCTACTAAGGTGCTCAAAGTGGGCAATGTTTGAAATAAACTATCACTTCGGTTACGCAATAGGCCACGCGTCATTAGGAATCACTTTCGCAGGAGTAACTGTTGTGCTTTGGGCTAGGCATCATCTCACCGGGAGCTGCCACTGACAGATGGTCATAGTCGTCTTGGCTAATCTTGCATCGTTCAAAGGCCTTGATCGTCAGGATTCCCGTCATTGTAGCATTTTGCAAATATCTTCAAGTCCCGGTCACTTCAATGGACGCATTCACTGTCAGTACTTCATGACGTTGCTTTACTGGTTCCTGTTGTTTGTGGGAGAGACACTTAAAATTCATTGCTGCACGTAGTGACCCATGGTAGGAAACCTCTTTGTGGGTGTGAAGTCATTTTTCTTTATTGTTTGCTAATACGTCAAAACTATCTACCAGCAAAAATATTGTATTCTCGTAGTTACAGTCAAATCAGGAGCGTCTTAAGAATCTGCTAAATACTCATTAGTACTCGACTTCAAAGTGGTGCAAACAAATAAAGTTAACTTGTCCCATGAATTGAATTAAAGCTGATTAAAGTGAATGAGTCTGCGATTTGTTCTAACATTTTTTTGGATAGTGTCTGGGTCAGAAGCAGAGGCAATTGGGATTACCTAAATCCCATAGCACATTGGTGGTTGGGCACTACTCTGTGAGTTCCAACTCGACTTATTCTCTCTTCCAGCTCATATCTTTGTATGAACTTCCTTTTCAAAAGCGTCATCAATTTTACCTATTACCTAGGTATTTAACATCTTTACGGCTATTCGATGCTGCTAGTTGGTTTTGGAAAATCTTGTCTATCGGCCATGGGGAAACTTGAGTGTTAGTCGGTGTGCATTTGAAGTGACTCTTAGCAGCTAAAGAGGTGCAAATATGTTTCCATCATTTGGAAGAGAATGCTCTTATTATAAGTACCGAGCTTGTTTACTATGCTCTAAATTATGTCAACCTTTTTAAGCAAAGCGTGTCCACCAAATTGGCATCCGAACACCTGTGCGTAGATGTCACGTATTCTCGAACGCAACTGCTTAATTTCAGAGCTAAAGCATTCACTGTTTAAAATTCACCTTTTCATTGGTTTTTAATTTATTTGTTTACAATGTAAAGCAATTGTTATACGGGATGCACTTTTACAAATTTCCTTTTATAAGGTATGAAAAATAGCACGATTCGAACCGTAAATTGGGAACTAGGTATACGATTGAATTACCCGGGGCATGAGTCTTCTCTCTCCTGCATTTCCTTGCAGGTCAAGATCGCCAGCTCTGCGGGTATATTAGTGGACACCTCTTCAGGTGGAGCGATACGTGTAAGTTGAGGTGGAACAAGCGACTTGGGCATATATTTTATCCCTTTCAGAGCATTTTTGAGTTGTTACTTTAGGCTTAACTTATTTCTTTTCTTTCTGTTCGTGTAGGCTTCTCTGGACGCCTACATCGCGGGGCTTCGAGAGAAGGACACACCAGAATCCGAGGTGGAAAGCTTGTCTGCGGCGCTGAGCTACCTTACCTATATGCGCATGCAGGTAGGCCTCTGGCACACCATTCAATCGTTTGAAGACCCGTTTTGCGCTAATCATTTGATGCTTCTCCCATAGCATTTCTGGTTCCGATTTAAGAAAGTATTTCAGTAATTATCTGCCACATCTTTTCCCTTTTTCCGTTTTGGTTGTCTTTCGGTGGGATACGCTATTGGCATTGAACGAATCACTTATCAGGCAAAAGGTATGACGTTTGTGATTTGAACTAGGACTGTTATTCCTTCAGTTAAGGTTGTGATGCTCGTACAAGCGATATGCGAGCAGAATTTGTTTGCTTTTCGATACAATTCCTTCACTCATCTCACCGAATAGGTGGTTTATGATAAGTTTCCTGTAATCACAAACGGGTGTTATTGCCACGTTGATACTCTTTGCAGTGAAAAAAAATAGAATTCATGTGTCTCGACTGTTTGCCATTTCGCAAGGAAATCAGTGGGTTCCATTTAATTCACTAGGTAGGCCGACTTGTTTGCTTAAATTGGTATAAAATATGTATTGATGCGCTTCTGTAGATGGCGTTGTACTTCAACGTGGAGGATGTAGTTGACCGAGCCGTCAGGAAGGCTCGTAACGGCGAAGCTGCAGAAATGTACCCGTTGGGCTCGGATGCGGTGGGAGCAGCTATTTCCCCCCCCACATCTCACGAGTCGTGGGAGTCTTCCCTTCTTAAGTTCTCCCACCACTTCGGCCTTAATGTGCCGTTGTACACACACTTCACCTCTCCTATCCGACGCTACGCTGATCTTCTTGTCCACCGCCAGCTAGCTGACTTACTGGGCTGCGGTCACTGGTCATGCCCCAAGCCCTCTATCTCGTCCACTTCCTCTAAAACCAACGGTTCCACAATGGCATGTGCGCCTCGTCGAATTACTGTTCAGGCAGCGTGGTGCAACCGGATGCGGCGCGAGACGCGCAGGGTCCAAGAGGAGAGCCAACAGCTCTTTCTCGCTGCATGGATTAAGGCGAGTATTGTGAATGGAATAGCTACTGTCGTTAAATAAAGTTTCTACGTGCAGATTGTTCACATACCCTTTCACGACTAGTAAATAGGATCTTAAGATAAACACCCTTATTGAGTGACTCCTTTAAGTCAACAAAATGGTGACTAATTGCAGAATGGTGAAGACTGCGCGTGGATCTGTCAGTCACTATACTTAAGGCGAACTTTGAAGACGGTCTCCACGACTTTTAGGGAAGCGATCAAGAGTGCGATCTGCATAATGTTCGAAGCTTGTCATCTATGGTGAAAAGTTGTTAAATATTAAACGTTGACATTTTGTAAGTACCCACTAGTATGGCTTTTCTCCATCTCCTCTGCCCAACTTGACTATTTACTGAATTGGCAGCACAAAAGTCTAGTTATTATTTATCGGCCCTATGTTACTAATCTCCTTGGATATATAGTTGGAGGCTTCTTGTTGCATACTGTAAAAATGAAGAGCAGTGGATTATAGAAGGTTACTATTTCAAAAGTTGGTTTTTTGGATCCGACTAGGCTCAAAATTCTCGGACATGGGTTACCAGTCAAGTCAGCAATTTGTAGTCAACTCTTACCTTTTTTAGTCAAATGGATCGGTGCAGGAGAATGCGGTGGTGCTGGGTTTGAGCAACACAAAAATCCAGCTTTTCGTTCCTTCCTGTGGCCTTGTACTCAGCCATCAACTTCAGAAGGTTGGTCCGTTTGGCATCATCACATGTAGATTAATTGAGTTTATTTAAGAAATAAATACCCCTGCTTAGTTTTGTCGCAAAGCTGTCAGCTGGCAGGTAAGGAGCAACCAAAATGCCGAAGGTGATGTCAATCATGCTCCCTGTGTCACAGTGAGGTGGGAGGAGGAGGAGGAGAAAAAGGAAGTGGCTGACGGAGATGAAAAGAGGAAGCCGACCGCTTCTATCAATACAAAACTCTCTATCCTCTCCTTGTGTCTCGTTCGACTGACCTGCAGCTCGATGGGTTTCTACGTGAAGGCTGAACTTTTGCCGCCATCGAACTCTTTGCTCCAGCTGCCACCTGCCCTGGAGATGAAACAGGTGTTGCCAGGAAACGCGTGTACAGTTGGATGTGGTGTCAAATAAGTCTATGTTAGGTGTCAATCAAATGCACATTTGTATTTTGTATAGGCGCTTATTTTATCAGCAATATGATTTTTGATTGCGGATCTCTCGGTGATTTGTTTAACTTATTTTTCTTGGGAAAGTGAGAGTGTATTGTTAGACACAATTGTCTTTGTGTAAACAAAACAAAGCAAAAACTGCCGGAATTAGTTTTTAGAGCATTCAAATCGGGTTCTTACTTTCACTCTTCAACGATGGATCAGAGGTTAACCAGGTTAGAATTATCAAATCTTCCTTACCTCTTAGCAAACGCCAATCGACTACTAACGTCTCCCCCCATTTTGGGCAAAAGGTCTGGAGTTAATTCGATTCTTCCAAAACTTTGCTTGTGAAGCTTTAAGTAGCAGCGAATTCCGAATTCACTGTGAAGCTTTATGGGGCAGATGATCTTGGGATATCGGTTCACAGAACCTCTATTGTATTTTCATTTTGGCCACTTGGTTGGCAAAACCGTCAGGCATATCCTTCAAAGGTCTTCACTTTCACTTTCTTTACATATTGTTATGCAAACTTGCGCATGTTTTTTCCATCGTAATTTTGTGTTAGATTAGGTCTACTGCGCTTCATATTGTTGGGAACATTTGATGTCGCTCTTGAATTCCTACAAGTACAGAAAGGTGTCGACTAAGTAAAGAGCTTTCTCAATATCTCGTTGAAACTTGCAGTTGTGACACGCCCTCAAGACCATTCTTGCTCTGCAGGGATCGGGAGTTATTTAAAGGCAACTATTTCAAGCTCCACCCTTGACTAAGATTTGTTTTATGCTTGAGCAATGTGGATAGGAAATGTGGAAATGAATTCAAAAGAAGTCTTTTGAAACATGCATTTGTGTGCCCTCTTTAAGAACTGAATGACGTTTTCCTACCGGAGGGGTGAATATTAATGAGGTGCAACGCATAACCTCGTAAGACCGTCGCCACCACAGCTCTCATCCTTATCATCTCATCTTTTGCAAAGTTACTGATCAAAGCAAAAACAGACTTGTTTTGCTTAAGACAGCTCTATTTGCAAACAATCATATTTGCTCCTTGACTGCTTTCTATGGTGTCGGAAATGTCAAAGGTTCTTAATTTCTTAAGGTCAAAATTTGAGTGCATTTACTTTGAAATTATTGCAAACTCAATTGGGAAAATGTGAGCTCTAGTTTTGCCGGGAATTTGTTCCACTTGGAGCTTTTCAATTTTAACAAATGTACTCATTGGACTAGAATGAGTATCATTTATGAACAACGATTAACATGACG